TGGGAGTTGAAGTCCACTCATCTTAAAGTGGCCAAGTTTGGACAACATTGGCATATGCAAATGTTGTTGTCATCGATAATACCGAGCAAAACCTCCAAGCTTTGTGCCTGCTAACCTAACCCTTTGTATTTGGCAGCAAGCTTTCATTGAGTTGAATGGGATTTACTCCCAAGTGAATATAGGAATGCAGCCTTATTCTCTTTAGTCCGTTTCTAAATAATCAAGTGGGGGGGGAAAGTCCAATAGGCAAACTTCATGGATGCTTAAATGGTTGACTAGTTATGTTCTCACGTCATGCTCACGCAGGTGAGATACAAACCTAGTGTCTGCATTCATGCTTGTGTGTGGCTTAGTGTGAAGTTTGAACCAAGGCCCTTTGGTTCATTTATGGTTCAGTGTATTGTGTAAACCCTCAATAGAGGTTTCAACAACATCTGAACTTCAAGAGCCAAAGAAAACGAATGGGTGAGGGTAGTGTGCTACATTTCCTATGCCTGTTCCAGGGAATGTCTTACAGCTAGAAGAAATTCCTGGGAAAAGTCAGGGAATGATATAAAAGCATATGACGCAGGAGCCTTTGGTGAGGGCATTTCCACCCTGTGCTAATTCAAGCGCTGTTTAGAACTTCTGCAGTCCCATAACATCTGCTCTGCTGGCGAGCTGAGTCAATTCATTTTTGGCATAAGTATATTTGAAACTAGTAAAATGTCCTTTAAAAAATGTGCTGCAAGTCTGTGGATGGGGTGGTGGTGGTGTCATTCTCCATTTACAAGAACGCCTGCGTTATTACCCCTCCCAGCTCCTGGGATTCAGCTCTTTCAACAGAAAAAGGGGCTGGATGGCTGTGTAAGCTGATGGGATCGTTTTCAGTATAGCCAGACAAATGCATACAACACAAAGTAAGGTTGTGAAAGGGATCTGTGTGCTTGTAACCAATTCAACTTCATTTCTCTTTTGCTATGAATAAGGCGTGGAGCTGAGGGGATTTCTGTTACTGCAGGTCCCATGCAGCTTGATCACTTCTTGCTTCTTGGTCTTCGCTTGCAAGACTGAAGTTCAAGCATCACTTCTCCAAGCCTGAAACACATTTGTAACATGGTCCCTCTACCCTTACCCATCCATTCTGAGAAGTCAGGCTGACATCCTTCCGGGCTCTTTATTTAAGCTTCAGGCACTTGCTAATGACCATCTTCTGTTTTCCGCCTGTTACCCCTTCCATTCAACAAATCCTGGTGACCAGATGCAAGAGAACAGTGCATGACATGAATTACACTGGCTGAAATTCTCTTCTTTTGCACGACAATATTGGGTAGGGTTTATGAGTCCAAAATATCTAGAGGGCCCCAGGATGTCTATCCTTGGCTTATTATGTATTTGCATACAGTCTAAATTCTATAAATAGCAGAAGCTCTTCTGCCTTTGGAACACTGATGCCCCAGGTGGTTAGAAGATTTTCTCTTCCTGTCTTTTGTTTTAGTTGGATGGATGTTCTACCTTGTTGATTCTTCCTCTTTCAGCATGAGAAAAAAAAATGAATTGAGGATCTCTGGGACTTGTAGTCTTTAAATAAGCGTAGGGCATCATAACACCCATCGCTTTGTCCAGCATGTCTAACACTGGCTGGATACAGGTTTAGTCTTCTATCCTAGAAGAAAGTTTGGGTCAGAAATTAGTAATTGCGTACAGCATGATTTGTTCTACCACATTTTCCAGTTGGGACATCCAAACAAATATGGGCAAACAAGTTTCCATAAATATCCTCAAGCATAACCTGCAATTTAGCCTCATTTTTCCCATCCAGATAATGGCCTTGCAATGCAAGCTGGGTATTAGGGTGCGGAAGACTTCCATCTAGTATGTCATAGATGACATCTCTGAATTCCCAGTCATAAGGGAACAGTAGGAAAAAGGACAGGATTTGCGGGTAGAAGTTTTGACACTTTTTTTTAAAGTCAGGAGATCATTTTTTTAAATTAGGTGATGCTCAAGAAATTTAAGCCTACTTCAGAACCCTCATAAAGGCCATGCAAGCTAAAACAATCTACCAGACACTGGTGGGAGCCACAGTTTCTTACAAATACAAAGAATTCCAAAAATCTGCCTGAAGTATCCAAAACCATTGATGTATTTTAAAAATTCCACTGATCAGTGCAGATTTAGCTTGATAACAAACAAGTCATCTTTGCAGACTTTAGCTCGTTCTATGTTCTCTTTCTACAACCTGGTGCCCTCCAGCTGTGTTGGATCATCTCCTGTGATCCCCAGCCTGCATGGTGGTTCCTGGGGGTTTGTGGAAATTAAAATCCAATGTAGCTGGAGGGCAGTGAGGTGGGAACAGGAACTACATGACAATCAGTTGGCTGACTGATGACTTGAAGTTGCTATTGCTTTTTCCCCATTAGAATGGGTCACTTCTGGTGGTGCCCAAGTCATCTTGAGAGCAGTAAGCTGTCTTAGCCTTGATTAAAAATAATAGGATCACAATAGGCCAGAATTTTTTAAAAAACATGGTTTATTCAAACCACTCTAGTGCTTAACAGTAATGTTTTTGGTTACCCTAGTGCGTGAAATCACCCATGCAGGCTTAGGGTTGTGGTTTGTTAAATAGACAATAGTTTCAAAAAGAAGAATCTTCTGTCATTATATCCTCTATATATTCAAATAAATAATTAATACATTGGCATATGTATTATTTAGAAATATATGCAGAAGGACTAGATTGACTATTTTGTGCCAGTTTATTTTTGAGTTCATCTTATATTTACCACTTTTTTTCCCCCAAGGATTAAAAAAAAGCTGGCTGTTCTAAAACCTCTTAGCTGTTCCTCTGCTGTTAGGGAATGTTTGTGTATTTATTTGTCAAATAAAAGATTTCTGAATGCAATTCCCACTTTCACTGTACTCTCACACCACAGAAACTCATGTTTCCACTATCATTACTTTTGGACCCAATCTGTTTTCTCCATCATAACCTCAGCTTTCCCCGCAATTAATTTTCTTTTCTTTTCTTTTTTTTAAACTTGGTCACAAGATAATTCCTGACGCCAGAAAGTCTGGAGGTCATATGAGTAGCAAATTGAGGAACAAGGCGGCACTAAGTCCGTACAAGTTTGCCTCCCCCAATCATGGAGGGGGGTGAATCTAAAACCTTGGGAAAAGTTATAGCTTTTAAACGTTGAAAGGTTAGGCGAAAGGAGGAAAGGCAGCGGGGAAAATCTGGCGTTTTCTGTGGTCTACGTATCTGGCGCCTCTCTCTGCTCCATTCTCCCCCCCCCATCATTATTTTAATGAAAAAGGGAAAGGGAAAGATGCGATCGACGTATCTTTTGAACATAGCTGGACTTCACTGAATGGAAGCGGGGGGGAGGGAGGAGGGAGGGAAGCGCCGTTTGATGGCTAGCCCCGCCCCCTTTGCCATCAGAGCTTCCTCATTCCTTTGATGTCCTCTGCTATGTGGTGTCCGCCGAAGCCAATAGAAACCTGTTTGGCTGTTGAGCCGTCTTGTCAACGTTCCATTCCAACCTTTTCGCTGTCATCGGAGGGGGCGGCGCTTCGGCCTCGTTTGCCTAAAGGGGCGGGGCCGGCGCCCGAGAAGACAAAAAGCGCCGCTGACAGCGCTGGCGCTTTGCGGGCAAAAGTGTCTTCGTGCGGACCCGAGTAGGAGAGCCCGGCGGAAAGCGTCCCTCCGCCTCGTTGGCCGTGGCCTGTTTCCATTTCTCGCCTCCCCGCGGCTGCCCGTCCCCCACCCAGCATGAAAGCCATCAGCCCGGTGCGGTCCGTCCGGAGCTGCTACGAAGCCGTGTGCTGCGTCTCGGATCAGAGCCTCGCCATCGGCCGGGGCACCAGTAACAAGAGTCCGGCTCTGGAGGAGCCGATGAGCATCCTCTACGACATGAACGACTGCTACTCCAAGCTGCGCGAGCTGGTCCCGGGCATTCCGCAAGGCAGTAAAGTCAGCCAGGTGGAGATCTTGCAACACGTCATCGATTACATCTTCGATCTCCAGATCGTGCTGGAGGAGCAGGCGAAGAAGGGGCAGGATCCCTCGGCCGAGGCTTCTCTGCTCTCGTTAAAAGTAAGGAAGGCAGGGGGGCGTCCTCAAGGGTAGTAGGAGCAGCCCCGCAACGTAGGGAGTGGGGACCTAGTGCCTTAATGGTAAGCGTCCCCGAGACTCATTCCTCGACCTATTTCTCTTTCCCACCCATCGCGTTGGCCCCTCGAACTACAACGCCCATCGTCCTCAGGAGGATGGAGAGCGTAGTACTGTAGTCTGGGGTCGCCCGTGAGGCTCCTCGCCGATGCCGCCAGATGAAGGGCGCGGACGGCTTCTGGCAGCCCGTTGCCGGTCCCCGCGTGCGCCGCTGGGTCGGGAGCCGCTTCGTTGGTGGGGGAGTCGGGAGGGAGGGGGAGATTCATTATCCCGGGCTTGTCCTGGAACAAAAGCCCTGGGAACGCGTTTGGGTGAGCCGGGGAGGCGCCGAGGACTTCGGCTGCCTGCGTAAACTGAGCGTCCAGTAAACTCTTTTTAAGTCCACTTACCGGAATTTCTGTTAAGTTCTGTTTGCAGCTCAGTTGGGCGCTCCGTCGTCCTGTAAAGAGAGTTGGTTTAGTTTCGGGGGGGGGGGGGGCGCCCCCC